TCTAAATGAGTTCTTTTTTTTTTTTGGTTTTGGTTTTAAAATCAGGTTCTCCTAGGAAATTTTGTTTTCATGCATTTGGTTGCTATAATGTTGGTTTATAAAGATTTATGTATGTCATGTACAATTTGTGAGTTGCGACTCTTTTAAAAATTTTATTAGTGTATTTTACAGACAGGGTCTTGCTCTGTCACCCAGGCTGGAGTGCAGTGGCATGATCATAGCTTATGGCAGCCTCCAACTCCAAGGCTCAAGTGATTCTCCTGCATCAGCCTCCCAAGTATCTGGGACCACAGGTGCCATCATATGCCCTGCTGAATTGCAGCTTTAATCAGTACATAAGGCTTCTTTTTGTCCTGTTCTATGTGTTTGCCATGAATTTTGGTTTGTTTAATGTTGACTGTACTACTGTGGCTCTTGGAGAGAGGGGCAGTTGAAATTCTTGCCAGGTGTCCTTGGAACTGGGTGTGCCTGGCTGGACACAGAGCTGCTTGAGAGAGGCTGACTCTGGCCAGTGCTTACGGGCCTGAGGGTGTCCTCTCCAGCTCCCTTGTGCCCACCTTTGTTTCCCGCAGAACCTTCCTCAGCGGGTTCCGGAGCTAAGGCTGGCTGCCTCCCAACGGGGTCCCTGCCGGTTTCAGGCTTTGAGCCATGCCTCTGCTGCTTGTCCTGGGTTCCCTTCTGCCGTCACTCTCAGGAAGCCTCCTCTAGAGGAGTGTCTCAGCTGGCTCTGAGACTCCGTCTCCTGCCTCGTGGACCATCAGGCAGACTTGAGTGCATTCCCTTTACCTCTTTTGTTTGGTTGTCCTGGTCTTTGCAAAAGATCTTGTTTTTCTCCCTTCCCCTCCCCTCTCCCCACTCCCCCTCTCCCCCCCTCCTCTTCCCTCCCTTCCCCTCCCCTCCCTCCTTCCCTTCCCCTCCCCTCCCTCCCTCCCTTCCTTCCTTTCTTTCCATGGAGTCTTGCCCTGTCGCCCAGGCTGCAGTGCATTGGTGCTATCTCAGCTCACTGCAACCTCCGCCTCCCAGGTTCAAGCATTCTCCTGCCTCAGCCTCCTGAGTAGCTGGGATTATAGGCATGTGCCACCATGCTGGCTAATGTTTTGTATTTTTAGTAGAGACAGGGTTTCACCATGTTGGCCAGCTGGTCTTGAACTCTGACCTCAGTGATCACCACCTCAGCCTCCAAATGCTGGATCATAGCATGAGCACTGCGCCTGGCTTTGTTTTCTTTTTCTATCCACCTTTTTTAAAATTTTTTTTTCTGGGTTTTTTTTTTTTTTTTTTTTTTTTTTTTTTTTTTTTTTTTTAGCTGATATCCTTTCTTACTGCCTCCCTCCTTCATGATTCTCCTGCCTCAGCCTCCTGAGTAGCTGGGATTATAGGCATGCGCCACCATGCCTGGCTAATGTTTTGTATTTTTAGTAGAGATGGGGTTTCTCCCTGTTGGTCAGGCTGATCTTGAACTTCTGACCTCAAGTGATCCACCTGCCTCGGTCTCCCAGAATGCTGGGATTACAGGCATGAGCCACCTCACCTGGCCTTGTTTTTCTTTTTCTATCCAACCTATCTTTAAAAGTTTTTTTTCAGCCTTTCTCTTCAGGAAATATCTCTTTCTATATTTTAATTGGTTTATATTCTGTTAGTCTCATTCTCCCTACTAATCCTGTTCTAATAGTGAGACAGAATCATAGTTTTCAGACTCTCTATAGCCTCTTTGATTTTCTGAGCACACTTGATTCATAGAAATCAAGAGTTAAATATAGTGAACCCCAAGTTTCTCTTCAAAGAATCAGTATGTCAGTCTGTTCAGCTTTCTTATTCTTTGATTCTCCATTTTAAAGTTTAACCTCCTGGTTCTCTTCACCCCCTTGCCTCTAGTTTCAGTAAACAACTTTCCCACCAGTCCTAATCAGTAGTTCACATCCGTTCCCCTGGTCACCTGCTCCGTCCTGCCTCATCCCAGTCACCTGCTTTGACCTGAGTCACCTGTTACCTGTTCCTAACCATCCTTCCTACCAACCTACTCACCCTGCCACTCCGGCTTGTACTCCCGCTCTTTTTAAAATAGCCAATCGGAATTAGCTAAGACTGTGTGGTCCAACCCTAGCCAATAGGGGAACAACACAGCAGCAGGGACTACCTGCCTCAGGGATAAGAACTCCTGCCCCTGCCCTGTCCAGGTGTGCTCTTGCCATTGTTCCATCTGCGAGGAGCATGCTTTCTGCAGAAAGTAAAAACTGCCTTGCTGAGAAAATTAATGTTCGAGTGCTATTTCTTTGTGGCACCAGGGAACAAGCATTTTGCATTTCTAACAGTCCAGGCACCAGCCTTTAAAAAAAATAGATAAAATAGTCAATTAAAAATATAAATGCATATTTATCCACTATACTTTAAAAATAGCTTTATTTAGGTATAAGCTACCTACCATAAAATTCACTCACGTTAAGTGCACTCTTCATTGAATCCTGGTAAGTATTCACCACGTGGTTGCAGAGCAGCTTTTTAGGGTGTTTTCCTCACCCTAGGGGGCCCTTGCATCCCTTTGCCACCTTTCCCACCTCAGGCCCAGCCCCAGGCAAGCGCTGATCTGCTGTCATGTAATTGGCCTCTTCTAGAATTCCTTATAATGGAATTAGGAACAGTGTCCTCTTTTGTGTCTGGCTTCTTTCACTTAACCTTTTTTTTAAGATTCATTTTTTTGCATGTATCACCAGTTCATTCCTTTTTATTGCTGAATGATACTCCAAATAGATTCCATTGTAGGGATAGATCATAATTTTTTTATCAATTCATCTGTCAGTGGACATTTGGGTTGTTTCCAGTTTTTGACTCTCACAAATAAACCTAGGAGGAATACTCACTTACAAGACTTGGTATGGACACCTGCTGTCTCTTTTCTTGGGTAAGTACTTAGGAGTGGAATGGCTGGATTATATGGCAGGTGTTTACCTTTTTAAGAAATTGCCAAACTGTTTTCCAAAGTGTGTGCACCATTTTATATTCCCCCTAGTAGTATATGAAGGTTCCAGTTTCTCCACATCCTTAGCAGCTAGTATGATCGGTCTTGAGCCGTCTTAGTAAGGCCTGTAGGAGTATCTCACTGTGGGTTTAATTTGCATTTCTCTAATCACTACTGATGTTGAGCATCTTTTCATGTGCTTATTTTCTATCCATTTTTCTTTGACAGTGTTTGTTGACATCTTTTGCCTGGTGAAATTAAAAACAAAAAAAAACTGAGTTGAAGAATTCTAGATAGAAGTTCTGTATCAGATACGTGATTTGAAAATATTTTCTAGTTTGTGGTTATCTTAACAGTGTCTTTTCAGGAGCAGAAGTTTTAATTTTCATGAAGCTTAACTTACCAGTTTTTTCTTGTATGAATCATGCTGTTGAATCTGAAAAATCTTTGTCTAACCCAGAATTACAAAGATCACACACAAAGATTTTTTTTTCTATATTTCCTTCTAGGAAGTTTTTGGTTTTAGATTTCACATTTAGATCTACAATCCACTTTGAATTTTTTTTTGTCTGTTGTACAATAACGGATCAAAGTTCTTTTTTTTGCATATGGATATCCAACTGTTTCAGCATCATATTTGAAAACATTATCCTTCCTCCACTTTATGATCTTTCCTCTTTGTTGAAAATTTGTTTACCATGTATGTGTGAATCTATTTCTGGTGTTCTGTAACATCGTTCTATTTCCACGCTGTCTTAATTGCTATAGCTTTATACTACATGTTAAAGTCAGGAAATCTAAATATTTTTGTCTTTTTCATAATTTTGGCTCTTCTGGGTTGTTTGCATTTCCTTATGAACTTTAAAATCTGCTTCTCAATTTCTGTTAAAAGCCTCTTGGGGTTTTGATTGACATTACATTCAATTTTTAGATCAATTTTGGGAGAACTGACATATTAACAATACTGAATCTTCTGACTCATGAACACTGTTAATGTCTTCAAAATTTTCTCCTTGCAGTGTTTTGTGGTTTTGGTGTACAGGTCTTGCACATCTATCAGATTTATTCTTGAATATTTTATGTTTTTTGATATACTTTTTTTTTTGAGATAGGATCTCAGTCTGTCTCCCAGGCTGGAGTGCAGTGGTGTGAATATTGGCTCAATACAACCTCCACCTCCCAGGTTCAAGTGATTCTCCTGCCTCAGCCTCCTGAGTAGCTGGGATTACAGGTGTGCGCCACCATGCCTGGCTAATTTTGTATTTTTAGTAGAGACGGGGTTTTGCCAAGTTGGCCAGGCTGGTCTCGAACTCCTGACCTCAAGTGATCCATTCGCCTCGGCCTCCCAAACTGCTGGGATTACAGGCATGAGCCACCACGCCTGGCTGGTGATACATACTTTTAAATGACCATATCTCATGAGAACTCACTGTTGCGACCAAGGGGGATGCTATAACACCATGAGAAACTGCCCCCATGATCCAGTCACCTCCCATCCGGCCCTTCCTCCAACACTGGGGATTACAATTCGACATGAGATTTGGTGGGGACACAGATCCAAGACATATTACATCCCTTCCTTGTTTCCATCTTAGAGGAGAAGCTTTCAGGCTTTTACCACTGAGTATCATATTAGCTGTTGTAGCCACTGAGATTCTTTATCAGGTTGAGGAAGTTTTCTTCTTCCCAAGTTTACTGTATGGAACCAGATTTTCACCTTGGATCTGTCTTCCTTATTCCTAAAGTATGTCCTTCATTTCTTATACTGCACATCTGCTGGTGGTGAATTCTTCAGTTTTGTACATTTGGAAAAATCTTTATTTTGTCTTTTTTCCTTTTTTTTTTTTGGAGACCAGAGTCTCACTCTGTCACTCAGGCTGGAGTGCAGTGGCCTGATCTTGGTTCACTACAACCTCCACCTCCCAGGGGTTCAAGCAGTTCTGCCTCAGCCTCCCAAGTAGGTGGGATTACAGGTGTGCGCCACCACGCCTGGCTAATTTTTGTATTTTTAGTAGAGATGGGGTTTCGCCATGTTGGCCAGGCTGGTCTCAAACTCCTGACCTCAAGTGATCCGCCTGCTTCAGCCTCCCAAAGTGCTGGGATTCACTCTGATACACTAAGTTCACTCTAATACAGCGAATACGGCTGAACTGCTGGTTGGCCTTTGCCTTCTCCAGTGCATGTACTGAATATTGCTGACCAGCCTGCATGGCTCCAGGAGGGCTCCCCTCCCTTCTTCCTGCTGCAGCCCGATTGTGCCCCGTGAGTATTCTGAGCCCCTTTTCTGGTTTCAGGCCTGCGTCAGTGTAGGGTGACAGGAAGGGTCTCTGCTGCACTCTGCCTCAGGAAAAGCAGCATCTGTGGAGAATCTGAACTGAGGAGGAAGCCCTGCCCAGCAGCCTGGGGGCTCCCAGGGATGTCTGCTGCATGGAGACCACAGAAACCTGTGGTGGGCAGAGAGTTACAGTTTGGCTGTGTGTTGACCGCCCTCACATAGGCTCTACCAGCAGCCAAGGCGGTGTCTGGAGATGACTGTGTGTGTGCCTAGGGCACACAGGCACGGAGACACCGCCAGCCCTTTATGTTGTGATCAGGGCTGGCAGGAGGCTCTGACTACGGCTGTGGGAAGGGGACGTATGCGCTGTCCTCTTTCTGAGCGTTGCTCTGGTGGGAGTTGTCATCTGGGAGCAGTCATGGAAGAGGACCGCCCCCGCCTCCCAGGTACAAGCACAGGCTCCTCTGCACTCCGACTCGCTGTCCCCTCATCTCCTCCCCAGAGCCCAGGCACTGCCTGCTAACCCCAGACCTTCTATGGTCCCCTTAGGACTCTTGCCCACCATTGGTCCTGATGGCTGGCCCCGCCCAGACTGGGCTTTCTCACAGGGGACCCAGCTGCCCTTCTGCCCCATGAGAAGTCACTGGCTCCCCCCGCCTCATCCCTTACTGCCGAGTGAGGGTCTGGTTCTTAGAGCCCCTTGTGTGTGAACATGTAAAGCTTGTGGCTGTGAGGTGTGTTTGGTAAGAACAGTGCACAGCTTTCACCAGATTCTCAGGAGGGCCAGTGGCCCCCTCTGTGTCAACAAGTTGAAGAGCCAGGGTCAGTCTGGCTGCCACTGAGGGCCAGGCTGCATCCTTGTGTGCCTGGGTGGCCTGACTGCAAGGAGAAGCCCTCGCTCAGTCCTGGACACATGGTGTGCATGGTGTGGCGGGTCAGCCCCACAGGACTGCCTCCTCTGTCTTAGGTTCTCAGCCTCAGCCGGTTCATGTTGAGGGCCAGAAGATTCCTCACGGTGGGGCCGTGCTGTGTGTTGCAGGATGGTTAGCGATCTCCAGGCTTCTCCCCACCAGATGCCAGTGGTGCTCCCACCCTTATCAGTTGTGACAACCAAAAATGCCTCCAGACATTGCCTGATGTCCCCTGTGGGCACAGTCTTCCAAGGTACAGAGCCACTGATCTACCTTATCTTAGAAAGAGACTATAGTCATTGCATTTCATAGGAAAAAGTGTTCTGAGTTAGAAATAATGTACAAATAAATTTTTGCCTTGTGTCTTCTATGCATCTTCTAATTATTATTTTACTAGATTACAGTCCCTCATGTGCAAACTTTGCACACCTGGAAGAAGAGTTTACTAGTAAACAAAAGCACTGTTTTTTTTTTTTCTTTTGAGACACAGTCTTACTCTGTCGCCAGGCTGGAGTGCAGTGGCGTGATCTCAGCTCACTGCAAGCTCCACCTCCCAGGTTCAAGCAATTCTCCTGCCTCAGCCTCCCGAGTAGCTGGGACTACAGGCACCCGCCACCTCGCCCGGCTAGTTTTTTGTATTTTTTAGTAGAGATGGGGTTTCACCGTGTTAGCCAGGATGGTCTCGATCTCCTGACCTCGTGATCCGCCCACCTCGGCCTCCCAAAGTGCTGGGATTACAGGCGTGAGCCACTGTGCCTGGCCAGGAAAAACACTTTTTAAAAAGATGCCTTTTTTTCCCTGTGGATATAAAAATACCACATAGTAATTATAGAACATCTAGAAAGTACAAAAAAGTATAAAAAGGGAAAAAATCATTATAATCCACCTAACCCAGAGACCATCACCTGTGGGCATATTTTGAGTCTTTTTATTAAATCTTTCAAATTACATAATTTTGGATCTTGAATTTTTCCATTTAAAATCGAACATAAATAGTGTGTTTATCAAGCACTCTTTATAAATGGTTTTGCTGGCAGGCATCGCTTGGTGCCTGCCTGGCTCGCCACACCTCGTGCCGGATGTGAGCGTGCACCGTTTCCACGTAAACACTGTCGTCTGCGTCCCTGAGCCTCAGGCGTGAGGAGAGGCAGCTTCTGTAGTGGTGGTATCTTTGCAGCTTTTTGAATGTTTCCCTTGAATTTCTATGTTGGTGATGATGGAAAAAACGTCAGGTCTGAGCCATCCATAAAATGCATTTGTCTATAATACATGGCCTTCATTAAAAAACACGTGGCAGTTGGGGTCTACCGTCATGGTAGGAAGGTGGGAGCTGGACTGTCCTCCCAGCCAGGGTCAGGCCACACCTGGAGTGCCTCAGGTCCATTCTGTCCCCGCGTTTCCAGCCTGTCTCTGGAATGACTACTTCTGAAACAGATTCCCTTTGCGTTTTTCTACCAGGCAGTATGCACTGAGTCCTTCAGGACAGATTAAATGCTGAAAACCATCAATCAAGTGTTCAGTCTTCATGCAGGATCAAATCCGTGGAACTGATGTTTTAGCACTGGGGTTGACAGTGTCCAAGTTCCAGATTCAGGGGCAGGCTCTGGACCTGTCCACGGTGTTGGCCTCTAGTGAGGCCCATGGGCCTCAGAGCCCGTGTGCTTGGAGCTGGATGATGGCTCCACCACTTCATAGCTTGGCCCGATGTGGGCGAAAGATTACCTAGGTGCTGAGGCAAGAGACTAAAGGCACAAACTGTTTCAGCATAATAAAGAAAATAGTTAGAATAGTCATAATACAAATTAGACATAGAGATGATCATGGACATTATCAATCATTAGTATAAACATTAATCATTAGCCTTTAATATCACTCGGTCGTATTACTAATATAACCTAGGAATAACCGGCGGGTATAGGGTCAGGTGCTGAAGGGACATGGTGAGAAGTGACCTAGAAGGCAAGAGGTGAGCCTTCTGTCACGCCCACATAAGGGCCGCTTGAGGGTTCCTTGGTCGAGCGGTAACACCAGTGTCTGGGAAGGCACCTGTTACTTAACAGACCGCAAAAGGGAGTCTCCTTTCCTTGGAGGAGTCAGGGAACACTCTGCTCCACCAGCTTCTTGTGGGAGGCTGGATATTATCCAGGCCTGCGCGCAGTCATCTGGAGGCCTAAACCCTTCCGTGTGGTGCTGTGCTTTAATGGTCACGCTCCTTGTCCGCTCCTCCCGTATTCCTGGTTCCTCTTTGAAGTTTGTAGTAGATAGCGGTAGAAGAAATAGTGAAAATCTTAAAGTCTTTGATCTTTCTTATAAGTGCATAGAAGAAAACGCTGACGTATGCTGCCTTCTCTCTCTGCTTCGGCTACCTAAAAGGGAAGGGCCCCCTGTCCTGTAATCACGTGACTTGCTTCACCTTATCAATCACTTAGAAGATCTACCCTCCTTACCCTGCCCCCCTTGTCTTGTATGCAATAAATATCAGTGCGCCCAGCTGTTGGGGGCCATTACCGGTCTCCGCGCCTTGATGGTAGTGGTCCCCTGGGCCCAGCTGTTTTCTCTTTTCTCTTTGTCTTGTGTCTTTATTTATTACAATCTCTCGTCTCCGCACACAGGGAGAACACCCGCTAAGCCCCCTAGGGCTGGACCCTGCAGCCCAGGGAGCTCATTGCTCGCTGCCTCAGTGTCTGTCTGTGGAAATGGTCTATCAATAGGAGTGACCCCACGGCCTGACTGTGAAAACTAAATGAGATCATGTAAGGGGCGTAGAGAACTGACCTTCGTGATCCTGAGCCACCGTCTACCGCCCGCTGGAGATGCCCTGCTGTGCTGTGCTTCTCGCCCTTCTCCTCCCTCCCATGCTTTTCCTTGCCAGCACTTTCAGCCCCTTGTGGTAGAGTTGGATTAAGCAGGTATTAATACTTCAGTTCAAGAAAAGTGTGAGGCAGGGGAGCTTGCCAAGCATCTCTCACGGAGCGGATATTCTGATCTGAGCCTTTGTTGACCTGGGTAGCAGTCTGGTGCCTGGGGTTTGCTAGGCCTGCATTGGCCCCTCCTGAGCCACCTTTCGGGACACCTGTGCAGGCTCTGAAAGGCGCCCGGGCATGGAGCTCGCCTCACTCAACTCTAACTTTTCTGCGTTTGTTTAGGGAGCATTTCCTGAAGACGTGGCCATGCAGCGCATCAGCAACTCCCAGAGCAGCCAGCACCACGTCCAGTGGCCCAGGGCCTGCCCCGGCACGGGCGAGGAGCAGCCAGCATGCTCCCAGCCACCCCCGCCCCTCACGCTGCCATCCCCCAGCCACCAACTGCAGCAGCTGATGGTGAGAGGGAGCCCTGCGGGTGGGCAGAACATGAATGTTGCCCTGCAGGGCATGGGCCCTGGGCTCAAGGGAATCCCACAAGTCACACTGGCCCCACTGCCACTCCCCAGTCCCACCTCTCCAGGCTTCCAGTTTGGCACTCAGCCATGGCAGTTTGAGCACGGGTCTCCATGGTACATTCAGGTCACATCCCCATATCCCAGCAGGTTCAGACCCAGAGCCCCACATAGCCCAGCCCCGGGCCAGGGCAGGCCCTGCAGAATGTGCGTGCAGGGGCTCCTGGCCCTGGGCTGGGCCTCTGCAGCAGCAGCCCTACGGGGGGCTTCGTGGATGCCAGTGTGCTGGTGAGGCAGATCAGCTTGAGCCCATCCAGTGGCAGACACTTTGTGTTTCAGGATGGGTCAGGACTCACCCAGATCGCCCAGGGAGCCCAGGTTCAGCTCCAGCACCCGGGTACGCCCATCACAGTCCGAGAGCGGAGACCCTCCCAGCCCCACACACAGTCAGGGGGCACCATCCACCACTTGGGACCCCAGAGCCCTGCAGCCGCAGGTGGGGCTGGCCTGCAGCCCCTGGCCAGCCCCAGCCACATCACGGCTAACTTGCCACCACAGATCAGCAGCAGCATCCAGGGCCAGCTGGTCCAGCAGCAGCAGGTGCTGCAGGGGCCGCTGCTGTCCTGGCCCCTGGGCTTCGAGAGGACGCCCGGCGTGCTGCTCCCCGGGGCTGGGGGCGCAGCAGGGTTTGGGATGATGGCCCCCCCGCCACCCACCAGCCCTTCCAGGACTGCCGTGCCCCCAGGCCTTTCCAGCCTCCCACTCACATCTGTGGGGAACACGGGAGTGAAGAAGGCTCCCAAGAAGTTAGAGGAGATTCCCCCAGCCTCTCTGGAGATGGTGCAGATGAGGAAGCAGTGCCTGGACTATCATTACCAGGAGATGCAGGCTCTGAAGGAGGTCTTCAAGGAGTATTTGATTGAACTGTTTTTCTTGCAACACTTTCAAGGGAACATGATGGATTTCTTAGCTTTCAAGGAGAGACTGTATGGACCATTACAAGCATATCTTAGGCAGAATGATTTGGACATTGAAGAGGAGGAGGAGGAGCACTTTGAAGTCATTAATGATGAGGTAACAGTTCTCTGTTTTGGTGCTTGTCACGGGAAGCAGAGCTCAGGGCTTATGCTGCGTGCAGGTGCAACGCAGAGCTTACCATCTTAGACGTGCAGGTGCAATGCAGAGCTTACCATCTCAGAGCATGCGTTCTAGGCACTTCACTTTTAAAACACACTGTGGCCGTGAATAGTGGTTTAAAGTCTCTCACAGGCTCCCCACGTTTACAGAGGGTGGTTCCGGGGATCCTGGCACCTGGCTGAACCCCCGGCAGCCCCCCTCTCCGGTGGTGGTTCAGGCACCTCTGTGGCAGGTGCTCACGGGGGCAGCGTCCTGGCACCTTTCTTGGAATGTCACCACATTTGCCTGCTCCTAAACGGTTGTGCTGTGCAAGGTGAGAACCTCCAGAGTCCACCCTTGCCAGCCACCTGCAGTCAGGGCTGATTGAGCTCAAAGCCAAGGTTCCAAGGTTCCTGAACACACATCTCAGTGTCAAGAGTTTCTGAACAAGTACAGCTCTAACTTAGACTCAAAATACACAGAGCAAAAGTGTATAGAATTTCATTTTCTTTCTTTGTTTTTTTTTTTTTGTGACAGAGTCTCGCTCTGTCGCCCAGTCTGGAGTGCAGTGGTGCGATCTCAGCTCACTGCAACCTATGCCTCCCGGGTTCAAGCAATTCTCATGCCTCAGCCTCCCGAGTAGCTGGGATCACAGGCATGTGTCACCACGCTCGGCTGATGTTTTGTATTTTCAGTAGAGATGGGGTTTCACCATGTTGGCCAGGCTGGTCTTGAACTCCTGGCCTCAAGTGATCAGCCCACTTCAGCCTCCCAAAGTGCTGGGATTACAGGCGTGAGCCACCATGTGTGGCCTATCGATAGAGTTTCAAGGGAACAGTTTTTGTGTTTTGTGTGTGTGTGTGTTTTTTTTTTTTTTTTTTTGAGATGGAGTCTCGCACTGTCACCCAGGCTGGAGTGCAGCGGCATGATCTCGGCTCACTGCAACTTCTACCTCCCTGGTTCAAGCAATTCTCCTACCTCAGCCTCCCAAGTAGCTGGGATTACAGGCATCTGCCACCACGCCCGGCTAATTTTTTGTATTTTTAGTAGAGACGGGGTTTTACTGTGTTGGCCAGGCTGGTCTCGAACTCCTGACCTTGTGATCTATCCACCTTGGCCTCCCAGGGAGCAGTTTTTAAATCCACGATTGTATGAGGAATTACTAGCTTTTTTCTCGGAAGACAATAAATAAATAAAATAATTATAAGTATGTAGAACGTGAACTATTCAAATTAACAATACAAATTAGCCTGTTTAAGTGTATAACACACATGTATATGTATGTGTGTGTAAAAACTTTCAACAAAGAATAATTTTTTTAGAGTATACATGGAGACTATTTGTAAATTGACCCCCAAGGGAATCCTCAATAAAATTTATAAAATTAATTTCATATGAACTATCCTCTTCCTATAATGCAACAAAATTAGAAAGCAATTATTTTAAACATTTACTATGTTTGGAAACTAGGAAACTTGCCCATAAGGTATTCATAGGTTGAGGAGAATATCTTCATGGGAGTGTCTTAAAGCACACCACAGCTGAGGGACCGCAGCCTACAGATCTTGTGGGATCAGCTGAAGGTCTCCTTAGAAAGGTCATTATGGCATTCAGTTAAGAAATACTGAAGATAAGCAGTCTAACAGCTTTGATAGTCACATGAAAAGTAAGTTAATCGTTGTATTAAAGTTCACTTCTAAATGGTAGAAATAAGTTTCTATAGATCCTGAAATAAGTTTCTATAGATCCTAGCATCTTAGGAATTTATGTTTTATGATCATTTTATAGTAAAATATTGGAAGTGTACTAACATTTTGATTTCTCGTGACTATTTTCCTCTGTGTAATATTGCTTACATTCCAGCTACTTGTTGTGTATTTAGGTTGACTCTACTAACATGATCCCTGTTACCAAACTTCATTAGCGCTATAAAATATTATTTAAACTAATTAGGTACATTTGCCTATGGGTTTTTTGCTTGGGGAATTGGTGCAAGTGAAAAAATGCACTTTTAAAGCCTTTGAACAAATGATGTTTATATACATTTGAAACCTTAAAAATCATTAAATTGAGTTTTCAGGAAATTTTCAGAAGTATCTAGAAGTCAGTGTGTAAACTGACATTGATGTGTTAATGCCTTATTTTCATATCTTAAGTGTTTTTAAAATTTTGCCTCTCAATATAGTAGAATCTTCCTGTTGACACCTTTGTGTGATGTATTTGTAGTCAATATATTAGAAATTGTAAGTATCAAGGGAGTGGTGCCTCCATATCCCTTTTGTTTATTTATTTATTTTTTATTTTTTTGAGACAGAGTTTCACTCTTGTTGCCCAGGCTGCAGTGATAGCCCAATCTTGGCTCACTGCAACCTCCCACTCCTGGGTTCAAGCAATTCTCCTGCCTCAGCCTCTTGAGTAGCTGGGATTACAGGTGGCTGCCACCACGCCAGGCTAATTTTTGTATTTTTAGTACAGACGAGGTTTCATCATGTTGGCCAGGCTGTTCTCAAACTCCTGACCTCAGGTGATCCCCCTGCCTTGGCCTCCCAAAGTGCTGGGATTACAGACGTGAGCCACTGCACCCGGCCTCTATATCCCTTTTAACCTTTTCAATACTATTATTGAACTACTCCAGAATACTTAATTTCAGTGTTTTAAATTTGTATGAGAAGACTTGTATTTAAAAGACACCCTACCTTCCAAGAAGGAGTGAACTCTAACGGTTTTTCTTTTCAGCTTTGGATGACTTGATCTCAAACATATCTTCAGGCAGGGCCGCCACACTCAGGCACTGGTGTCCCTGGAGGATGCCCACAGCTCAGACTCTCCTTCAACTCCAAGCACTGCCGAACCCTTCCCCCACCCCCCGCCTACTGAAATGCCCAGATTCCCATTTTCACAACGAAGTTCTCTTCTTTTGGGTCAAGGTTATAGGCTTCAATACCTCCTACTAGAACCGAATTCCTTCCAAGGCTGATACCTGTGGCCAGTGTCAAGCAATTTTAGGCGTGTTGTTCAGTGATTATATTGCAGGTTCCTGAAAGAGTAAGAAATGTTTGTGCACTTTCTGCAAGCATGCTTGATTACAGGATCAAGCTACCTGATTTCTTTTTTTTTTTTTTTTTGAGATGGAGCTGTCAACCCAGGCTGAAGTGCAGTGGTGCGATCTTGGCTCACTGCAGCTTCCACTTCCCGGGTTCAAGCGATTCTCCTGCCTCAGCCCCCTGAGTAGCTGGGATTACAGGTGTGCAACACTATGCCCAGCTAATTTTTGTATTTTTAGTAGAGACGAGGTTTCACCATGTTGGTCAGGCTGCTCTCAAACTCCTGACCTCATGATCCACCTGCCTTGGCCTCCCAAAGCGTTGAGATTATAGGCGTGAGCCACCATGCCTGGCCACTATTTGATTTCTTTAAAACATTTAATTGTGGGCCGGGCCCGGTGGCTCACACCTGCAATCCCAGCACTTTGGGAGGCTGAGGCGGGCGGATCACGAGGTCAGGAGATCGAGACCATCCTGGCTAACACGGCGAAACCCTGTCTTTACTGAAAATACAAAAAATTAGCCAGGCGCGGTGGCAGGCGCCTGTAGTCCCAGCTACTCGGGAGGCTGAGGCAGGAGAATGGCGTGAACTAGGGAGGCGGAGCTTGCAGTGAGCCAAGATCGTGCCACTGCACTCCAGCCTGGGCGACAGAGCGAGACTCTGTCTCAAAAAAAAAAAAACAACCAAAAAACAAACAAACAAAAAAACCCACTTAATTGTGGTAACTTATACAGAACATAAGATTTACTGTCTATCTGATTTATTTAAAGTGTTAATTTATTCCAGGGTACTGACAAATATTAAGGTTTGGTTTTGATTATTTATGATGATATGTGCTTGTTTATATTTAGCCTTCTGGACATATTTAGCCAGAAGAACCAGTTTCTTTTTCTTTTCCTTTTTTTTTAGACCTGTCAGCCAGAAGTAAGAACCAGTTTCTGTTTTCTTGTATTTCTCTCTGTGATTTTAAGCTGTAAAGTGCCGTTTGACTTTGAGTTCATTTAATTTCAAGGGTATTCCCATTTGAATACCCTGGATGTGAAGCAGTTAATGTCTCTGGAAAGATTCTTTGGTTTACTTACTCCTAAGAAGCTGTCATTATGGAGATGCAGATTAATTTGTCTTTCTGTTTTATCAGATCAAAGTGTGTTTTTAAGAAAGGACACATTTTCAGTGGGAGTGTTTTTTGTCATTCTTTTTTTTTTTTTTTTTGAGACGGAGTCTTGCTCTGTCGCCGAGACTGGAGTGCAGTGGCCGGATCTCGGCTCACTGCAAGCTCCGCCTCCCGGGTTTACGCCATTCTCCTGCCTCAGCCTCCCGAGTAGCTGGGACTACAGGCACCCGCCACCTCGCCCGGCTATTTTTTTTTTTTTGTATTTTTTACTAGAGACGGGGTTTCACCGGGTTAGCCAGGATGGTCTCAATCTCCTGACCTCGTGATCCGCCCGTCTCGGCCTCCCAAAGTGCTGGGATTACAGGCTTGAGCCACCGCGCCCGGCCTTTTGTCATTCTTCCTCATGCCCCACCATGGCCTCCCCAGGCATCTGCAGCCCCTGCCGTGAGGGGTGGGCCGCCCTCTGACACTGCCACTGGGCTTCTGCGTGAAGCTGTGTGGACGCGACCTGTGCAGCCTGACCGTGGCTACCTGTTGGCCACAGATTGAGGTTTAAACTGGACTTCAAACAAAGCTTCAGTGCCTAGGGCCAGATTTGTTCTTTCCAGCCCCGTGAGGCCTTAAATTGCAATCAGAGAGCCAAGTTGTCCCCGTGCCCCTCTATTAGTGGCTGAGGCTGCCAGCTGCATGGGATGTGCTGGTGGTGATCAACTTTGCAAAGTTTAAACATTATTTTCCCTTCTTCCTCTCTTCCCTTTGAATATTCCCTCTCAGGTAAAGGTTGTGGCCAGAAAGCACGGGCAGCCTGGCACTCCTGTTGCCATAGCAACCCAGCTTCCCCCCGAGGACTTCCGCGGCTTTTCCAGCCCAGCAGCAGCCGCTCCAGGTACTTTCTGATGGCTCCACAATGCAGCTCCCCAGACTTTCCTCACTCGGATTTGAGGACTCGATGTTCTGAGGCAGGACCCAGAGGTCTCCCAAGAGCCTGTCCTCTGTTGTTCAAAATACATCTTGAGTCGTCTTTGTGAAGGCTCTTAGTTTTAATGCATGAATGCTGTTATTTTTCCCTACTGTTACTGAAATTAAAGTGTTTGTCTCTGATCATTAGTTCTGTTAACTTTTCTGCTGGAATGTTTTTCATTTGCATTTGCTTTTCTGATATATTTGCATTTTTCATTGCTTCTGTACGATTGTGGCCTCTTTGGATGTTTATCTTTTTGCCCCTTTGTCTGCTTTTAAACAAACAGATTTCCTAAATTATTTTCTTGCTACAGGGAGTTGATTTTGCTCTTTAAACATATTCTAGGGGACGAGTCTCAAAAACCAATGATTTTAGATTTCAGAATACAAGGAAGTTCCTGGAAACTGCAACTCAGTTATTACATTTCTTTCCTTTCTTTTTTCTTTTTTTTTTTTTTTTTGAGATGGAGTCCTGCTTTATTGCCCAGGCTATAGTGCAGTGGCACAATCTCAGCTCATTACAACCTCTGACTCCCGGGTTCAAGCAATTCTCCTCCCTCAGCCTCCCGAGTAGCTGGGATTACAGGCACGTGCCACCACGCCCGGCTAATTTTTTGTATTTAGTAGTGACGGGGTTTCACCATGTTGGCCAGGCTGGTCTCGAACTCCTGACCTCAGGTTATCCCCCGCCTCAGCCTCCCAAAGTGCTGGGATTATAGGTGTGAGCCACTGCACCCAGTCAACATTTCTATATACTTAAAAACATGTTCTAAAAATTATGTTAAAATATACATAACAGTTCCCATTTTACCCATTTTTAAGTGTACAGTTCCATGGCATGAAGCATGTTCCCATTGTTGTGTGGCCATCACCAACATCCATCTCCAGAACATTTTCATCTTCTCAGACAGAAACTCTGCCCCTGTGAAATGCTAACTCCCCATTCCCCCTCCCCCAGCCCCTGGCACCCACCACTGTACTGTCTGTCTCTGTGGGTGGGAATGCACTTCTCAAGCCACCTAAGTAAGTTGAATCATATAGTATTTGTCCTTTTCTGTCTGTTGTACTCAGCATCGTGTCTTGAGAGTTCACCCATGCTGTAGCCTGTAACAGAATTCCTTCCTTTGGAAGGCTGAACCACGCTCCGTGGGATGGGCAGACTGTGGTGTGGAAGGCTGAACCACGCTCCGTGGGATGGGCAGACTGTGGTGTGGAAGGTTGAATCACACTCCGTGGGATGGGTAGACTGTGGTGTGGAAGGCTGAATCACACTCCGTGGGATGGGTAGACTGTGGTGTGGAAGGCTGAATCATGCTCCGTGGGTGGGTATACTACAGGTGTGGAAGGCTGAATCATACTCCGTGGGATGAGTAGACTGTGGTGTGGAAGGCTGAATCATGCTCCGTGGGATGAGTAGACTGTGGTGTGGAAGGCTGAATCATGCTCCGTGGGTGGGTATACTACAGGTGTGGAAGGCTGAATCACGCTCCGTGGGTGGGTATACTACAGGTATGGAAGGCTGAATCATACTCTGTGGGATGGGTAGACTGTGGTGTGGAAGGCTGATCACACTCCGTGGGTGGGTAGACTGTGGTGTGGAAGGCTGAATCATACTCTGTGGGATGGGTAGACTATGGTGTGGAAGGCTGAATCACACTCCGTGGATGGGTAGACTCTGTGGGTGTAGAAGGCTGAATCATGCTCCGTGGGTGGGTAGACTGTGGTGTGGAAGGCTGAATCATGCTCCGTGGGATGGGTAGACTGTGGTGTGGAAGGCTGAATCACACTCCGTGGGTGGGTAGACTACAGATGTGGAAGGCTGAATCACACTCCGTGGGTGGGTAGACTGTGGTGTGGAAGGCTGAATCATGCTCCGTGGGATGGGTAGACTGTGGTGTGGAAGGCTGAATCACACTCCGTGGGTGGGTAGACTACAGATGTGGAAGGCTGAATCACACTCCGTGGGTGGGTAGACTGCGGGTGTGGAAGGCTGAATCACACTCCGTGGGTGGGTAGACTGTGGTGTGGAAGGCTGAATCACACTCCGTGGGTGGGCAGACTCTGCGGGTGTGGAAGGCTGAATCACACTCCATGGGTGGGTAGACTCTGCGGGTGTGGAAGGCTGAATCATGCTCCGTGGGTGGGCAGACTCTGCGGGTGTGGAAGGCTGAATCACACTCCGTGGGTGGGTAGACTCTGCGGGTGTGGAAGGCTGAATCATGCTCCGTGGGTGGGTAGACTGTGGTGTGGAAGGCTGAATCACACTCCGTGGGTGGGCAGACTCTGCGGGTGTGGAAGGCTGAATCATACTCCGTGGGTGGGTAGACTGTGGTGTGGAAGGCTGAATCATGCTCCGTGGGTGGGTAGACTGTGGTGTGGAAGGCTGAATCACACTCCGTGGGTGGGTAGACTGTGGTGTGGAAGGCTGAATCATGCTCCGTGGGTGGGTAGACTGCAGGTGTGGAAGGCTGAATCACACTCCGTGGGTGGGTAGACTGTGGTGTGGAAGGCTGAATCATACTCTGTGGGATGAGTAGACTGTGGTGTGGAAGGCTGAATCATGCTCCGTGGGTGGGTAGACTGCAGGTGTGGAAGGCTGAATCACACTCCGTGGGTGGGTAGACTGTGGTGTGGAAGGCTGAATCACACTCCATGGGTGGGTAGACTCTGCGGGTGTGGAAGGCTGAATCATACTCCGTGGGTGGGTAGACTGTGGTGTGGAAGGCTGAATCATACTCCGTGGGTGGGTAGACTGTGGTATGGAAGGCTGAATCACGCTCCGTGGGATGGGCAGACTGTGGTGTGGAAGGCTGAATCACACTCCGTGGGTGGGCAGACTGCGGGTGTGGAAGGCTGAATCACACTCCGTGGGTGGGTAGACTCTGCGGGTGTGGAAGGCTGAATCACACTCCGTGGGATGGGCAGACTGTGGTGTGGAAGGCTGAATCACACTCCGTGGGTGGGTAGACTGCGGGTGTGGAAGGCTGAATCACACTCCGTGGGTGGGTAGACTCTGTGGGTGTGGAAGGCTGAATCATGCTCCGTGGGTGGGTAGACTACGGGTGTGGAAGGCTGAATCATGCTCCGTGGGTGTGTAGACTGTGGTGTGGAAGGCTGAATCACGCTCCGTGGGTGGGTAGACTGTGGTGTGGAAGGCTGAATCATGCTCCGTGGGTGGGTAGACTGCAGGTGTGGAGGCTGAATCATGCTCCGTGGGTGGGTAGACTGCAGGTGTGGAAGGCTGAATCACACTCCGTGGGTGAGTAGACTATGGTGTGGAAGGCTGAATCACGCTCCGTGGGTGGGTAGACTGTGGTGTGGAAGGCTGAATCATACTCCGTGGGTGGGTAGACTGTGGTGTGGAAGGCTGAATGATACTCTGTGGGTGGGTAGACTGTGGTGTGGAAGGCTGAATCATACTCTGTGGGTGGGTAGACTACAGGTGTGGAAGGCTGAATCATGCTCCGTGGGATGGGTAGACTGTGGTGTGGAAGGCTGAATCATGCTCCGTGGGATGAGTAGACTCTGCAGGTGTGGAAGGCTGAATCATGCTCCGTGGGATGAGTAGACTCTGCGGGTGTGGAAGGCTGAATCACGCTCCATGGGATGGGTAGACTGCGGTGTGGATCCACCTCTTGGTGGACACTTGGGTTGCTTCCACATTTCAGCTATTGTGAACGGTGCTGCCGTGAAGATGGGCGTACAGATACTTCTTCAAGTTCCTGCTTTCAGTTCTCTTGGGCATATACCCAGAGTGGAATTGCTGGGTCACGCAGTAACTCTGTGTTTAACTTTTAGGAAAGTCCACACCATTTTCATAGTAGCCGCACCATTTCACATCCCACCAGCAAGAGTGAGGGTTTTCTTTCTCCACATCCTTGCCAACGCTTGTACATTTTTTTTTTTATGGTGGCCACTCTGATAGGTGTGCTATATGCTTTATAATGTAATAGAAAAATATTACTGAATATGCATGTACATACGGCTAAAGACATTCAGAGTTGGCCGGGCGTGATGGCTCACACCTGTAATCCCAGCACTTTGGGAGGCCGAGGCGGGCAGATCACCTGATGGCAGGAGTTTGAGATCAGCCTGGCCAACATGGTGAAACCCCGTCTCTACTAAAAAAGGAAAAATTAGCCGGGCCTGGTGGCGGGCACCTGTAATCCCAGCTAGTTGGGAGGCTGAGGCAAGAGAATCACTTGAACCCAGGAGGCGGAGGTTGCAGTGAGCCAAGACTGCGCCACTACACTCCAGCCTGGGCAACAAGAGCGAGACTCCATCTCAAAAAAAAAAAAAAAAAAGACATTTAGAGTTTTAATCTGTTAATCAGCTGGCTCTGTTGATGGTTCAAAATTGACTAGTGAAGGAGGCAGCCTTTGAAAAAACAACTTTAACTCAGAGTAACAAATGGCATTGGTGACACATGTGGAATCCCATGGGAAGAGTGTGGAGGGATGGATGGGCTCCTGGGAGCGGGATGCAGGCTGTGGGGTGGCCCAGTGTGCTGCACCTGTGGCCGGCAGGGCTGGCACCTCTGGCCTGGCCCCAGCAAGTGCAAGCACCCACACAGAACACAGGCCTGCTCTACCCTACTCTTCTCATGTCATGTTCTTAATGTTGAGAACACAGGTTGAGTTCAGTGTGATTCTCCAAACAAACTGGCTGTGAGCAGTGTCAGTTTTCTTTTCTCCAACTTCTTTATTTATTTATTTATTCTTTTGAGACAGAGTCTCCCTCTGTCACCCAGGCTGTAGTTTAGTGGTGTGATCTTGGCTCACTGCAACCTCCACCTCCTGGGTTCAAGCGATTCTCATGTCTCAGCCTCCCAAGTAGCTGGGATTATAGGTATGTACCACCATGCCTGGCTAATTTTTGTATTTTTAGCAGAGAGGGGGTTTCATCATGTTGGCCAGGCTAGTCTCG